GGGGCGTGGTGGCTAGGGTGCTGGACACTCCCACATGGCTGACCACGGTTCGAGTCCCAGACCTGGTGGCTTGCTTTCTTGCTTTCCCACCCTCTCTCTCTCTCTCTCTCTCTCTCTGTGTATCTCTCTCTGGTCAAATTAAAAATGGATGAATCAATCAATAAAATTAAATAAATAATTAAAAAAACCTCGAATCTATGGTCTATATAAAAAAAATTTTAAAAATCTATTGGCACGCACCCTATAGCAAAAACCTCTCAAAAATTAATTTTATTTATTCATTTATTTTAATTTGACCTGAGAGAGACACACAGAGAGAGAGAGAGAGACAGAGGTAATGGTTATGTCACTGGACTCCCACATAGTCATCCACAGTTTGAGTCCCAGAACTGGTGACTTCAAACATGCCAGGCATGTGTACATGCACGCCCAAAATCCTGAGAGGAGAATGGAGGAGAAGGGACTGTAGCATGGCCATTCCCTCTTGGGGGGACAGGGGGTTCTCATTTTTTGTCTCTATCTCTTTTTGTCTCTCCATTTCTCTGTCTCTCTGATAAGTGCACACACCCTATACCAAAAATCTCTCTTTAAAAAAAAAAGGATATTCTGATACATGTTACAATATATGCCAGTTTCTATGAAACTGGAAGACATTTTAAGTGAAATAAACCAGTCACAAGAAGACAAATCTGGCATGATTTGTACACTTATGAAATGCTTAGTCAATATACAGAAAGTAGAATAATAGTTGCCAGGAGCGGACAAGGGGGAACAATGGGAATTTGTTTAATAGGTATTGTTCCAATTTGATGAGATGAAAAGTTCTGGTGAGGACTGCATAACAATGCTAATGTATTTAATGTCATAGAATTATGTACACTTAAAATAACTAAAATGAGGGATCAGCACCTAGGTGGTGTGGTGCTTGAGGTCTTTGATTCCCATGTGGTTGACTAGTTTGAGTACCAGATGCAGTGACTTGAAACTTATGCTGGATACGTTTGTGTGCATGCTTAAAATCCCAAGAGGAGAATAGAAGAGAAAGAACTGTGATGTGGCCATCCCCCCAGGGGGTGATTTCTTGTGTCCTGTCACTCTGTCTCTCTGGCAAGTGCACATGCTCTATAGCAAAGATATCTCAACACCCCCCCCCAAAAAGCCCCAAAACCAAAACACTAAGACAGAAAATTTTAAGTATATTTTACAATTAAAAATGAACTAACTTTAAGTATCAATAGATGGTGTAATGGTTAAGTTGCTGGACTCCCACGTAATCAATCGCAGTTTGAATCCTAGACCTTGTGACTTAAAACTCATGCCAGGCGCATGTGTATATATATGCCCAAAATCTCAAGAGAAGAAGAGATGGGATTCAGCATGGCCATTCTCCCTACTGGATGATTTCTGTCCTTCTGGTGAGTTGCACGTGCCTTATAGCAAAAATCTCTCAAAAAAACCCCCTAATTTTAAAACTAAAAACAAAATATTGATACATGCTACAACATAGATGAACCTTGAAAACATTATGCTAAAGTGAAACAAGCCAGAAACAGTCTATATATCATATGATTTCTTGATATGTAATGTCCAGAATAGAAAAATCTATACAAAGTACATTTGTAGTTACCAAGAGTTGCATAAAGGATGAATGGGCACAGATTTATTTTAAGGATGAAAAAAGTATTCTGAAATTAGACAGTAGTGATGATTATATAATCTTTTGAATATACTAGAAACCACTGAATTGGATATGTTAAAAGGGTGAACTTTATAGCATGTGAATTATATATCAACAAAGTTCTTATTTTAAAAGTGACATATGGGACCAGCAGTTAGTGTAATGGCTATGCCGCTGGACTCCCACGTAGTCGACCGCGGTTCAAGTCCCGGACCCGGTGGGTTAAACTCACGCCGGGTGCGTGTGTGTGCATGCCCAAGATCCTGAGAGGAGAATGGAAGAGAAGGGATTGTGGCGTGGTCATCCCCCCCTGGAGGGTGATTTCTCACTTTCTGTCTCTCTGTCTGTCTCTGGTGAGCACACGTGCCCTATAGCAAAAACCTCTTTAAAAAAAAAAAGCAAGCAACATGTATGTACATGTGTGTATATATGTATGTAAACATTCTATTTGTCGTGCTGTGTGTTTATGTACACATACACACATGTGTACACATATACACATGCATGTATACACATATCCACATGTGTACATGCATAAACACACACAAAGAAACAGAATAGAATGTATATATATATATATATATACCCAACATACACAAAGAAACAAACAGAACAATAAAAGGATTAGATAGGGAAAGCATAATACTATCTAGCAAGATCCACATACAACCAATAAACTATGTTTCACTAAATATTGTTCAAATATTGTTGACGTAAGGTTGAATCGTGATATACTATAAAATTTGAGGTATGATTAAGGTTGGGTTTTAGCACACTACATTTTTGGAAATGTCAGGTTAAATTAAATGTAAAACAAGAAAATAATACTTTTGGTTTCCCAACTTTGCTTTCTTTCTTTGTCTTCTAAGACAACTATTCTTGGGGTCAGGAGGTAGCCAGATCCCACATGGCTGACTATATAGTTTGAGTTTTGGACCCAGGCAGCTTGAAAATCACACCAGGTACATGTGCATGTATGCCCAACATCCCAAGGGCAGAATGGAAAAGAAGGGATTCCGCGTGGCCATCCTCTCTGGGGGGTTAATCTCTCACTTTCTTTCTCTCTTTGTCTCTATCTGGTGAGTGCATGTGCTATATATATATATAGCAAACATTCAAAACCGAAACAACAAAGAAAGAGCAAAGAACACAAAAAGATTTAGAACTAGTCTAAATCTCTCATCTTTTAAAAATACAGAGATGGTAAAAGGGATTGACTGCAAATGGGCCTAAGCATCATTTTGGGATGAAGGAAATGCTCTATAATGGAATTACAGTGTTAACTGAACTATTCTGTAAATCTACAAACTTTATAAATTATGTTTCAATAAAGCTGATAATTCAATACCATGGGGAAAATATTTCATTTCAAATTTCTGGTAGGTTTTAAACAACTACAGGATAACTGGAAAAAGGCTATTTTATTCTTTCTGATTGTACCTACCATGTATGACTTCTTGGTAACCAATTCTCTTTCCCAACTTTTTCAATGCAGAATTTCTGTGGTCCGTTGCTCCCTAAAACATAATGAAATCATAAATAGTTTGTTAAGCAGTGGTTCTTAAATTGTACATCCTAACCGAGCAGTGTGAGCCTCACCAAGGAACTTATTAAAATTAGAAATCCACAGGCTCTACCTAACCCTGCTACATCAGAAACTCTAGAGTGGGGCTCAGCAATGTGTGTTTTGACAAGCGTCTAGCTGATTCTGATGAGTGCTTAAGTTTGAAAAGCATTTTGTTAATGTATGGACAAGACCAAGAATGAGAGAAAATAACAGAAACGGCACCCCCAATAGGATCTTGACCCATGATGTACCCCAGATTCAGGTAGTCCAGGATCATGGACATGTATGTGCCAGCATGTTCTGTAGGTCTACAGATGAGAACCTGGATGGAACCTTCCCACATGGCCAGTCTCACAGAGCATTGTGTTTTACCACCGCATCACTGTTTAGCCCTAAGTTCTCTAAATATGACTTTCTGTCTTAGCTGAAACGGGCTTAGAAATTACAATCTCTCAGGGCCGGCCAGTGATGTGGTAATTAAGGCAGCTGGATCCTACAAGTCCAACTGCTTGGTTCAAGTCACAGACCCCTAAGCATAAAAAACATGCTGAGTGTGTGTGTGCGCGTATGTGCCCAAAATCCTGAGAGGAGAATAGAGGATTGCAGCATGGCTAACTCCGCTGGGAGATGTTTTCCACCTTCCCTGTCTCTCTCTTGTTGGCAAGTACTCAGGCCCTATTGCAAACTTAAAACAAAACAAAACAAATGTCACCACAACCTCTCTATGTATTTACCTATGGGACTTGTTATTACATCGGCATCAAGGAAACATTTAACTTAAATATATATATACACACATATATATATACACACACACACACATATATATGTATGTATATATATTTTTAAGGTTTTAGCCATAGGGCATGTGTGCTCTATGAGACACAGACACAGAGAGTCTCACATGGAGACACACAGAGAGACAGTGAAAGGGAAAGTGAAAAATCATCCCCCAAGGGAAATGGCCAGGCCACAGTTCCTTCTCCTCCATTCTCCTCCTGGAATTTTGGGCACACAGGCATGCATGCCCAGCATGAGTTTCATACCACCTGGGTCCAGGACTTGAACCTCGGTTGGTCATGTGCGAGTCCAGCACCTTTACCACAATATCACCTGTTGACCCCCAAACATAAATATCTTAATCCATGACTACTATGTAACAGGCACTGTGCTAGAAATGGGACATAAAAAAATATGTCGATATGAATGTATATCTCAAAGAGCTTACAGTCTAATAAGGCAGGGAGATTTTAAACACAACAAGGAAACTAATCCACTATTGTATAATGGTTTTCTCACAACTTTAAGGTACACTGGAATACATCCAATAATGCCTGGCTCACAGTAGACACGAAAATGTTAGACAAATGGCTAAATGAACAAATTGATTACATACAAAAGACTGCTATCCTACTGAGTTAAAATTGTGGGGTCTGGGAGCTAAAAATTAGAATTCTACCAAGGTAAGGACTACAAAGTGATTAAAAGGTCACAGGCTAACTACATCTAGATAAGAAATGGCTATACTTGTATTTGTTATTTCTGGTAAGCTGTATACACATTTACATAATGGCAATATGCCAAACAATTTTCCTTCTAGGAAAAGTGAACCTTGTATACATACCCATAAGGTCAGCAAATCCTCCTACTGGCAATCGGCAAGTTCCAGTAACAAACTGCAGTAGTCTCATTCTCTTCTCATTATCAATTTCTTTAACGAACTGTTAAAAGGATATTTAATGAAAAATGTAGGCCATATGTTATATTCGGCACATTAAATGAAAAATAAAAATGATAATTTCAAATTTTAACTGAACCCCTGGTGTCAGCTGTAGTAGACAATGACTTTACCCTTCACGGCAGATAGAGGGGGTATTTCTATATTTGCCAAAACCCCACCAATCTTCCCCTACATAAATCTCAGGACCACATCTGTAAAAGGAAGCAGAAAAGACCCAAGAGATCCCTACTCATGCAGTTTAAAGATCAGCTTTTTGGGACCAGCAGTTGGCATAATGGCTATGTCGCTGGACTCCCATGTAGTCGACCACAGTTTGAGTCCCGGACCCAGTGGCTTAAACTCACAACGGGATTGTGTGCATGCGTGCCCAAGATCCAAGAGGAGAATGGAGGGTGATTTCTCGCTTTCTGTCTCTCTATGTCCGTCTTTCTGGCTAGCGCATGCGCCCTATAGCAAAAACCTCTCTGAAAACAAACAAACAAACAAACAAAAAAACAGCTTTTCTAGGGCAGCCCATCCCCCTCCCCCCACTAGATCTATCTGTCCTGAGACACTCATGTGATTACATAAAACACAGAGTCAGTAGACATTTTTGTATTAGGAACAATTAAAATCAAGCTTACAGAATTCTGGCCAGATAGATCCCAATAACTTCCTTTTCTCAATGTCCTTTAAATACTGGTATAGCTAAACATAGTCAAAATTATGTGGCTTTATTTCCTACCATTCTGACTCAAAACATGAAGTCTCTGGAGAATGTATAGCCTACAGAACAGCTATTTTAGCTCAACCAAATTTTTTTTTGTAGATCATTTTTACCCTATTGTACTACTGTCAATGATTTTAAAATGTTAACCCTATTTGTTTTAGAAACTTGGTTCATTTTTGAGTTTCTCAAATTTCTTCACATGTAGAGCAGACTTTTTTTAATTTTTAATTTATTTATTTTACAATTTGCTACAGGGTATGTGCATTCATGAGGGAGAGAGAGAGAGACATTGAGAAAGCACCCCTTAGAAGAAATAAACCACCCCTTTTTCTCTGTCCTGTCAGGATTTTAGACATTCATGCACATATCCCTGGCATGCTTTTTAAGTCACCAAGTCCAGGACTTGAACCACACAGTTGGTCATTGGGATCTACGTTCCTTAACCACTATGGCACTTGGGACTTGTTATTATTTCTTTCTAGCAGACATTTATTTTTTTTTTAGAATTTTACTACAGAGTATGTTCACTCGCCAGAGAGAGACAGAGCAAATCACCCCCAGGGGGGGATGGCCACAACACAATCCCTTACCCACTTTCCTCTCAGTGGGCACACTTGCCCAGCTTGTCTTTCAGATCCAGGACTCCGACCACAGAACTGCCCATGTGGGGATCCATCCACCTTTACCACCAAGCCACTTGCTGGCCTACCTTAGCTGACTTTTTTATTTTTAATTTTTTTATTATGGTAAAATATATGTTAAATTTACCATTTTAACCATTGGAAAGTGTACAATTCAATGGTATTAACTATATTTACACTGTTGTATAACCATACCACTATGTCCTGAATCTTTTCACCATCCTAAACAAAAACTATATACACATTAAATATAATTTCCCCCTCCTTGCAGCACCTGGTAACCTCTGTTCTACTTTCTACCTAATATTTGTCCTTTTGTGTATGTCTTATTTCACTTATTTTAAGAACTCATGTTTTAGAATTTCATTATGTTGTAGCAAGTATCAAAATTTTTATATCTATTTAGGGCTAAGTAATATTCCATTACATGTATATGCTACCGTTTGTTTATCCACTCATCCATCAATGGGTAATAGGGTTTTCACTTTTTTTTTTTTAATGCCAACGGGCATGTGCACTCACTAGAAGAGAAATAGAGAAAGGGAGAAAGCACCCCCTAATGGGGCATAGGCACGCTGCCTCCCCTTCTCCATTTCTCCATCCTGTAGTACTTTAGACATGCATGCACACACATGGGTCATGTTTTTCAAGCTGCGGGGCTGGAATTCAAACTGTAGTTGGCCATGTGGGATCTAGCTCCTTTAACCATTAAGGTATGGAACTGGTCTCATTTCACCCTTTGATGAGCTTCAACAATATGGCTATGAACAATGGTATAGGGAACCAGCAGTTAGCGTAATGACTATGTAGCTGGACTCCCACGTAGTCGACTGCAGTTCATGTCGCGGACCCGGTGGCTTAAAACTCACGCCGGGGGCGTGTGCATGCGTGCTCAAGATGCTGGGAGGAGAAAGGATTGAGGCGTGGCTATCCCGCCTGGGGGGTGATTTCTCACTTTCTGTCTCTAATGTCTCTCTCTGTTTGTGTCTCTGCTGAACTGAGTGAACTGCTAAGTCATATATTAATACTGTTTAATTTTTTGAGGAACTGTTTTCCACAGTAGCGCATCTTTTTATACTATCACCATAATGCATGAGTTTCGATTTCTCTACACCCTTGACAATAATTGCTATTTTCCATTAAAAAGAAAAAAATACCAATGAGGGGCCGGCAGGTGGCATGGTGATTAAGGGCACTAGATTCCCACATGGCCAACCGCAGTTTGAGTCCTGGACCTGATGGCTCGCTTTCTCACTTTCCCTTTCTCTCTCTCTGTCTCTTCAGGTCAAATAAAAAAAAAAAAAAAAAAAAAAAAGAAATAAAATAAATAATTCTTAAAAAAAAAAAAATAATAATAATACCAATGAGAAGCCAGTAGGTAACATGGCTAACATGGCTAAGGTTTTGGACTCTCACATGGCAGACTGTAGTTTGAATCCTGAACTTGGTGGCATTAAAATCACACAAGGCACAAGTGCATGCATGCCAAAAATCCCAAGAGGGGAAAGGAGAAGGGACTACAGCATGGCCATCTTCCCTGGGGGTTGGGGGGGAGGATGACTTCTCACTTTCCCTCTATCTTTGTCTGTCCCCACACCCTATAGCAAAAACCTAAAAAATAAAAAAAATAAACCTAACAAGTTTGAAATGGTATCTCACTGTGCTTTTGATTTGCATTTCCCTAATGACTAATGATGCTAGGCACCTGTTCAAGAGCCTATAGCATGCTTTTTTTTTTCCCTTTAGTTTTTGTGATAGGGTGTAAGTGTTCACTGGAGACAGAAAGAGAAGAAAGTGAGAAATCACCCCCCTAGTGGATGGCGACATCACGATCCCTCTTCTCCATTCTTCTGTTGGGATTTTGGGCATGCACAAAATCAAGCTGCTTAGTCGGAGACTCTAACTGCTCAGATGGCTATGTGGGATCCAGCCACCTAAAACACCAAATCATTGACTGGCCCTAGAGCAGACGTTTTGAGAGGAAACATCATGATTCTAAACAAGGTCTCTTAAATTTTGTCATTTGAACACTATGTAATTCTTTTTTGTTTGTTTGTTTGTTTGTTTTTTACAACTTATTTATTCCTTCCATGAGTGAGAAAGAGCAAGAAAAGGAGAGTACTCTCAACAGGTCTTGTTGCCACAATCTCTCCTCAGCATTAGCCAGCCCTGGAACATTGGTGCACACATCCAGAATACTTAAGGAGGTCTTCAGACATGAACCCAGACCTTTTCAGTGGGCCAGACTCACAGAACATTGTTTTACCACTGGGAAACCATGCAGCCCCTCGCACTGCATAATTTTTTTTTTTTTTTAACTTTTTAGGTTTTTGCCCTAAGGAGTGTGTGCTCACCAGAGAGACAGATAGACAGACAGTGAGAGGCAAAGTGAGAAATCACTGTAATCCTGTCTCCATTCTTCTCCTGGGATCCTAGGCATGCACATGCAAGATCCTGGTGTGATTTTCAAGCCTCTGGGTCTGGACTCGAACCACAGTTGGTCATGTAGGAGTCCAATGTCTTAATGACCACACCACCTCTGGCTCCCATTATGTAATTTTTAAAAAATAATTTATTTAACTTTATTTATTCATTCATGTATTTTAATTTGACCAGAGAAATATACAAAGAGAGAGTGAGAGGGAAAGTGAGAAAGCAAGCCACCAGGTTCAGGATTTAAACTGTGGTTGCCCATGTGGGAGTGTCCAGCACCTTAACCACCACACCACCTGCTGGTACCCCATTATGTAATTTTTAATGAGTATGAATGATGAAAACCAAACTTTAGACAGGTCTAAAACCCAAAAAGCATTTAAACCAAATGCAGGTAAATCTTACACTCTGGGCAAGAGTACACGGTATGTGTTGTATACTTGGCAATAGCTACAAAGGACGCTGTTCTAATCTGTATTCATTTATTATAATGCATAGGATGGACTGATGAGCCTACACACACTGGCATTTTGTTTGGGCTCATTTCCATATGTGGTAAGCAAATTTTAAAAAATTACGCCACGGATACCAATAGAAATAAATTCTGAGACAAACCTGCCAAAACCACATGATTTGTTTGCTCGTCCTAGTGTAATGACGGTAGATGGCATGTCTTTGCCAGTCATTCAAATCAATCTCTTGCATTCCACATAAAAGGACCTTTGGGGTGAAAAAGACAAATTCATTTTTTAGGGGAAATTTACAAAAAAATGGTAGCCAAAGAAAAAGAAATACTAACATTAAACATAGCTTAAATTTAAAAAATCAGCAAGCTTTGGCTTTTAAACTGTATTATCAAGAACTGTATCTATGTTATTCATGAATGGGAGTGTCCATGTATGTTTTCATATATTCAAGAAATAAATCAGTCTCTAATAATAACACTTGAAGGAGGTAGTACTCTTCTATCTTTGGATAAATTAGGGTTTTCTTTAACCACGGTGGATGCTACAAAACATCTTGATAGTATAAAAAATACTACTGGCAGACACCCAAAGCATGCTGCAGAGAAATGAAGAAAAACACATTACCTCTAATTCCTTTGCATCAAAGTACTGCAAATACTGCTGAGGGAGAATTTCATTAAAGCCCTCAAAGAAAGCTTGTGTCTGTTCTTCAACACCTCGAGACAATCTCCATTCAGCTACCATTCTGGCAAATAAATATGAAAAAAAAAAAAAGAAAGTTATTAGGAAGTTTAGACCTCCTCTTTAAGTTTTGAGTTAAAAATAAAATTTAAAAACTATTCTAATAGGGGCCAGCAGGTCATGTGTTAGTTAGGGCACTGGATCCCCACGTGGTTGACTGTGGTTCAAGTTCCAGATCTGGTGGTTTGCTTTCACTTTCCCTTTTTCTCTTTTTCATTCTCTCTCTCTCTGGTCAAATTAAAAAAATATTAATAATAGGGACCAGCATATGGCATAACGGGTAAGCTGCTGGATTCCCACATAGTTGAACATAGTTCGAGTCCCGGATCCGGCAGCTTGAAACTCATACTGGGCATGTGTGCATGCATGCCCACGATCCCAACAAGAAATGGGGGAAAAGGGATTATGGCATGGTCATCTCTCCTAGGGGGTGATCTCTTGCTTTCTATCTTTCTGTTTTTCCGGAGAGAGAGCATGTACCCTGTAGCAAAAATCTCTCTTAAAAAAACCAAACAAACAAACAAAAAATGAACAAAAAAACTGGGACCAGCAGACGGTGTAATGGCTACATTACTGGACTCCCATGAAGTTGACTGCGGTTCAAGTCCTGGACCTGGTGGCTTAAACTCATGCCGGGCGTGTGTGCGTGTGTGCCCAAGATCCTGAGAGGGGAATGGAGGAAGGATTGTGGCGTGGCTATCCCTCTGGGGAGTGATTTCTCTGTTCTGTCTCTCTGTCTCTCTCTGTCTTTCTGGAGAGTTGCACGCACCCTATAACAAAAACCTCTCAAAAAACAAGCAAACAAGAAACTCACAAAAAAATCACAACAATAACAACAAAATTAAATAAATATTCAAACAATTCTTATAAAAAGTGTCAAATTTATACTAAAGTAGTACATAATGAACCTCTTATATACATATCTAAGATTCATCACAATGCCAATCATATTTTGTCTATACTTCTACTCATACCCTTGCTAAAATAAAATTTTGTTTTAAATAAATATTTCAGTTTACATCTACTGTACAACACAAGATTTTAAAAAAGCCACACCATTATTGTATCCCCCCAAAATTCTTCAATATGAAACATCCAATTCTCAAATTCTAATTGACTCAATTTTTAAACTTTATTGTCTGAATTAGAATTTTAAAAAGGTTCACCATAGTAAAAGTCTCATAAGCTGCTGCTGCTTATAATTCCTTGCCATTTTTTTAACAGAAAATATCAAATTTTCTTTTGCCAAATATTGTAGATTTCCACATTGTCTTTTTTCTAATATTCATGTATACATACACAATCTCTCCCCTTTTGCTCTTTTTCTCTCTCTCTCAAAAAAAAAAAAAATTGTGTGTGTGGGGGCCAACCCGAAGGGTGATTTCTATGGTTTTTTTTTTGGAGAGTTTTTTTCGCTATAGGGCGCGTGCGCTCGCCAGAGACATAGAGACAGAAAGCGAGAAATCACCCCCCAGGGGGGATGGTCATGCCGCAATCCCTTCTCCTCCATTCTCCTCTCGGGATCTTGGGCATGTACGCACACGTGCCCGGTGTGAGTTTTAAGCCACCGGGTCCGGGACGCGAACCGCGGTCGACTACGTGGGAGTCCAGCGACATAGCCATTACGCTAACTGCTGGTTCCCTCTCTATGTTTTTAAGAGAGATTTTTGCCCATAGGGTGTCTATGCTTGCCAAAGACACTGAGAGAGATAGAGAGAGAAAGTGAAAAACCATGTCGAACGGGCAATGGCCACACTGTAATCCTTTCTCCTCTATTCTCCTCTTGGGATTTTGGCATGCACACACATGCACCAGGTGTATGTATCAAACTGCCAGGTCCAGAACTTGAACCATGGTTGACCATGTGGGAGTCTAGCGCCTTAACCACTATGCCACCTGCTGGCCCCATGATTTCTCACTTTCCCTCTGTCTCTCTCCAGCAAGAATACACATCCTGTGGCAAAAACTTGAAAAAATAAAAAAGCTCACAGTTTTTTTTTTTTTTTTGCTTTGGGCAAATGCACATATGTTAGTTGTGTGTGTGTGTGTGTGTGTGTGTGTAGGTGAGGGGGTGGTTAGTGAAAAAGCATTCCCCAGGGAGGATGGCTACATTACAATCCCTTCTTTTCCATCCTCATCTTGAGATTTTGGGTATAAACACACACGTGCAGTGTTATTTTCAAGCCACTGGGTCTAGGTTTTGAATCACAAAGTTAAGTCATGTAGGATCCAGCCTCCCTAACCATCATGCCACTGACTGGCCCAGAAGTTGTACTCATAATAGCCTAAACTAGAAAAATACCAAGGGGCCAGCAGGTGGTGTGGTGGCTAAGGTGTAGGACTCCCACATGGCTGACCATGGTTTAAGCACCAGAACTGAAGGCTTAAAAATCATGTAGGTCAAAATCTCAAGAGGAGAATGGAGGACAATGGACAGTGGTGTAGTCACTCCCTGGCAGGGGGGTGGTGATTCCTCACTTTCCTTCTCTCTGTCTCTGTCGAGTATGTGTACCCTATGGCAAAACCTGAAAGAAAAAATAAAATAAAGAAAAGAAAAAACTGAATGTCTATCAATAAGAGAATGACCACATGAATTGTGACTCTCTACATGGTATGGAGTACCTGACAACAAAAATTAAACACTGATATATACAACATGGCTGAATCATTTTTTTAAAAAGACATTTATTTATTTTATTCATTCATTTATTTTAATTTGACCAGAGAGATAAAGACAGAGAGAGAGAAAGAGAGAAAGTGAGAAAGCAAGCCACCAGGTCTGGGACTCAAACCATGGTCAGCCATGTGGGAGTGCCCAGTGCCTTAACCACCATGCCACCTGCTGGTCCCCAGATCTAAGAACTTAAAAAAACTTTTTTTTAATTTAACTCCATTTATGTATTTTAATTTGACCGGAGAGGAACAGAGTGAGGGAGAAAGAGAGAGAGAAAGTGAGAATGCAAGCTGCCAAGTCCGGAACTTGAACCACAGTTGGCCATGTGGGAGTCTGGTGCCCCTAAACCACCATGCCACCAGCCGGGCCCCATGGCTGAATGTTAAAAATACTGGATAAAGTGAAAAACTAGACACAAGAATCCATACTCTATGATTCCATTCTAGGAAGTTCAAGATCAGACACAATTATGAAAATAAAATTAAACAAAAGTGGCTGCTGCTGGGTCGGGGAATCGAGGTTTCTATGCATCGTTGCTGGGGGGGGTGGGGGCAGAGGGAAAGAAATGTTCAATAATTTAATTTAGGCCATATATTTACATAGGCATGATATTATATGGAATAATGTTTGCAGAAATGGTATTTAAATGTGATCCAGCATTACCTTTACCTTTAAAATTTCCATATTTGGGCTTAATATACACATTGGAAAAAATTTCCAAACCACTGTCTCTGTGTTCTGTTTCTCTAAATCCATGCACCCTAAAGCAAAAATCTCTTTTAAAAGGAATTTAAAAAGAAGTTTTTGACTTAAGGTACATGTGCTGAGAGAGTGACAGAGACAGTGAGAGGGAAAGTGAGAAATCCCCCCCACCCCAAGGGGTGATGGCCACGCTGCAATCCCTTCTCCTCCATTCTCCTCTCAGGATTTAGGGCATGCATGGACACTTGCCCAGCTTGAGTTTTAAGCCACTGGTCCGTAACTCGAACCACAGTTGGCCATGGGAGTACAATGATGTAACTGCTATGCTATCTGCTGGCCCCTATTTATGTACCTTTTTTTTCCCTGAGAGAGATTTTTGCTGTAAGGCACGTGTATTTGCCGGAGAGACAGAGAGACATAGGCAGACAGAAAGTGAGAAATCACCCCTCAGTGGAGATGGTCATGCCACAATCCCTCCTTCTCTCGGGATTTTGGGCATGCTTACACACACATCTGACATGAGTTTTAAGCCACCGGGTCTGAGACTCAAACTGTAGTCAACTACATGGGAGTCCAGTGACATAACCATTACACCATCTGCTTGTTCCTATATGTGTATTTTTAATTATGAAGGGAAAACCAAACAAGAGCCCTGAATTTAAGAAATGGATATGCTAAATTTAACCCTGATCAGACAATTGCATTTAGATGATACGGAAAAATACCCCTTAAGACTAGAAGTATGAATCAATGTAAAGTTTTAAGAAAGGACATACTATTTACTTATAAAATTTTACCTGATCCTGTGATATTTACCATGAAAATATCTGCATACAAATTTGAGATTCTTTTGAATGACATGTAATAACGGCATAGTGGTTAAAAAAATGGTTATTTAGAAGAGTAATCCAGAAAGGCTTCTAACCTTAAAATTCCCACGTTTGGGCTAAAACTAATAATGAAAATTGACTGCATACACCAGATAATGAATAATACAAAGGCAAATATTATTTTATGAAATGTTATCCAGTTGTACTAGTACACAATTAATGTGCTATATCCCAAAAGAAAGGCTATCAACTACATCAAAAGATGCATTCTCTCTTACCTGATATATTCCTCTTTATTTTCTTCTGTTACAAGAATATTGCCACCATTGGGTTTCAAATCATGACTCTTAATTTCACCTAGAATTTCTTTATCAACAGAGAAGTACATTTCCAAGCCACATTCCTCAATATTGTTTTCTCTGCAAAAATAAAATTAGCACTATTTTAATATCTACCAATTCAATCATAATTTAAAAGTTTTAAAAAAATTTTTAAATTATTTTAACTTTATTTATTTCTTACTTATTTCAATTTGACCAGAGAGGGACAGAACAAGAAAGAGAGAGAGAAAGTAAGTGACCAGGTCTGGGACTCGAACCACAGTTGGCCATGTGGGAGTCCAACGCCCTTAACCACCCTTAAACACCATATGCTGGCCCCGTAATTTAAAAGTTTTTAATGAAAGTCCTAAGTCCTTAAGCAATTTTAAGAAAAAATTAGAAGATTATGCTGTAGGGTCATCATATTATTGTCTAAGATCTTGGGTAAATTTTATCTAAATTCAATAAAATAATTACTTCCTTATAGTTAGGGTAAGTTACCAATACCATAATAGAAGCATAAGATTACAATTTAATAAATTAAATGGAAACAGAAACTTACTTAACCCAGATGAGAGAATTGTAAAATTCTGGATCAATAGATTCTAAATCCTTGAGCCCAACTGGCTTGTTCAAGATACGCTTATAGAATGGCAAAGAAAACCCTGTGTCTATGAACTTCCCATGGAACAGCGCCTATGCAAAAAGGAATATCATTAAAGAAAAGTAAGTAATAGTCATTTTAATTCAAAATGTTAGATAAATTCTTCATTAAAAAAAACTCCCTCAGGATTGTAGTGCAGCACATTAAGCTCTGTGAAGGGGAGCCTGATAATAAATTTGAATCCTGGCCCAAGATGCTTAAAAGACACACCAGACATGTTCCTGTGTGCCCAGAATCAGGATGGGATGAAGAAATGGAGGAAAAAGAGGATTGTGACAGATGTATCCAGGCACAGTCAAGGAGGCTGTCTGCATACACTCTCATGCCCATTCAATGTGTCCTCTGGCAAAAAAAACCAACAACAACAACAAAAAAACTCCCCCCTCATATTATGGCACATATGAGAAAACTGAATATTTCTGAATTAGCAAAGTAAACACACAGTTCTCCACCAATACTTACCATGGCAATAAACCTGCCAATAAAACGAAAATATTTCAGGTGATCTGGATTGATGTATGAAGCGGGATTTATCTGCAAGCAGTAGTTATCCTTCCCTGCATATTCAAATAGGCAATACATTGGGTTCAACACTTCATGTGACAAAAGAAAGAACCATTCTCTGAAATCAAAAGAAAACTTAAGATGAAAAATCCTGCAATAACCATGCCAACAAATCAAAGAACAGTGTCACAAAATTCTCAGGAACCTATGCTCCTCTGCTAGTGTTACTTTTCTAACTTTACGTTGAATTTTATTGTTCTTTTAAAACTCACATTTATTTTAGAGAGATAATGTACATTTTTTTACACTACTTATATTTCAAAGAATCTAAGACATGATTGACTTTAAAGGAATCTTTATTAGAAGAAACACTAACAATTTTTTCCAGTTGTAATTGTGATACACATTCTAATTTCAGAGACATTAAAATATGAAAACATTAGTGTCAAAATCAATGAAACACTGTAAGTATGTTTAAAATTCACTATTGAGGGACCAGCAGATGGCGTAGCAGTTACATTGCTGGACTCCCACATGGCTTACTGTGGCTAGAGTCCTGGACCTGGTGGCTTGAAACTCACGCAGGGTGGGTGTGCATACATGCCCAAGATCCCAAGAGGAGAATGGAGAAGGGATTGTGGCATGGTCACTCTCCCCAAGGGGTGATTTTTCACTTTCTCTCTCATTGTCTGTCTCTTTCCAGCAAGTGTGCACTGAGGAAAACACTTAAAAACAAACAAACAAACAAACAAAAAAACAGAAAAAAACCCCTCACACTATTGACCCACATGATTAGAGCATCTGAAATGAGTCTAATACTCCATATATTAATAAGTCCCATGGTGATCTCACCAAGTGCCACTAGATGAATCTTTTTTTTTTTTTTTTTTTTGAGAGGAGAGGTTTTTGCTATAGGGTGTATGCGCTCACCAGAAAGACAGACAGAAAGTGAGAAAACACCCCTCAGGGGGGATGGTCACGCCCAAATCCCTTCTCCTTTATCCTCCTCTCGGGATCTTGGGCACACACGCACACGCACCTGGTGTGAGTTTAAGCTACCGGGTCTGGGACTTGAACCGTGGTCGGCTACCTGGGAGTTCAGCGACATAGCCATTATCCAACTGCTGGTTCCAATCACTAGATGAATCTTAGATGAAGGACCAGCAGGTGGTGTAGTGGTTAAGGTGCTGGACACTCCCACATGGCTGACCACAGTTCAAGTTCTGGATCTGGTGGCTTGCTTTCTCACTTCCTTTTTCTCTGTGTGCTCAGTTCTAGTTCTAGACTTGGCAGCTTGCTTCCTCACTTTCCCTTTTGCTCTGTCTTTCTGTTCAAATTAAAAAGCTAGTAACAAATACAATTAAATAAATAAATAAATAAATATTTGAAAAGAAAAATCTTAGATGAATATGAAAAACCTTCCAATTTTACAGAAGCAGTATAGGACTTAATTCTAGCCACTCTTTTATTAAAAAAAAAAAATGCTCTGAGAAACTGTTTTAAATGCTGTGAAAAAAAACCTGACTGATTGTAATGTAAGATTATGGTCAATAAGTATATAACGTGGGTAGGTCTAGTAGAGTCCCTTTGGGGAAATAGTTGTATTAGCTTGTGTCCTACATCTTGTTTGTTAGTTCATGCTTCGTGGTGGTAATACCACTTATTCTTTAACATTGCTAGTTGATTTAGTGATTAAGAATAAATGACTGTGGGGCCAGGAGGTGGCATGGTAGCTAAGGTGCTTGGACTCCCACATGTTTGACCATGGCTCAAGTCCCAGACCTGGTGGTTTGGTTTCTCACTTTTCCTTTTTCTCTCTCTGGCCATATTTTTTTTAAAAAATGGTAATAATATGGTGTTGGCAGATGGTGGGGTGGTTAAAGGTGCTGGATTCCCACATAGGCGACTACAGTTCGAGTCCTTAACCTGGTGGCTTGCTTTCTCACTTTCTCTCCCTCCCCCACCCCCGGTCAAATTAAAATTTAAAAATGTATAAATAAATAAAGTCAAATAAAATAATTCTTTAAAAAAATGGTAATAACATATAAAATAAAAATTTGTGTTTTTTTTTTTTGAGAGATTTTCAATATAGGGTGCGTGCGCTCGCCAAGCAGACAGAGAGAGACATAGAGACAGAAAGCAAGAAATCACCCCCCAGGGGGGATGGTCACGCTGCCATCCCTTTTCCTCCATTCTCCTCTCGGGATCTTGGGGACACACGCACACGAGCCCGGCGTGAGTTTTAAGCCACCGGGTCCGGGACGCGAACCGTGGTCAACTACATGGGAGTCCAGCGACATAGCCATTACGCTAACTGCTGGTTCCCTAAAATAAAAAAATTATTTAAAATAAAAAGACTAAATGACTGCCATCCTCCAGAATTATCTTTTATTTATACAAAATTAAATGTTTCTACACATACTTACCTGTGATTATGTCACACATTTTAAAATAGTTTTATTTGAACTAAAAAACAATGTAAATAAAAACTATTAAAATAACAATTAGCGAGCATATTAAGACTCAGGCTTTGAACAAGGTCAGACTATTTCTACTCCTCACATTATTTCAGAAAGGTAGATATTAATTATTCTTATTTTACAGATTTAGAAATATGCCCAAATCATACTTTCAAAAAGAGACTTAAATCTCCAGTCTTGACTCCAAAATCCTTTCTTTGCCATACTATCACTGCTATAATCTTTAAACTAGTGAGAGATATTGTTATAGAATAAACAAAGCAATTTCTTGCTTGAGACTATCTTCCAGGGTTGAATGATCAGTTCTAATATGAAATAAATAGAATGAATATTTTCAACTCCTATTTTCTCACATATATTCTCATGACAGCTATAGTAACCTAAGCTGGAAATTGAGTAACATTTATCTTTATCAGTAATCTGTTGGTGGAGATGTGGGTGATCTGATCAGTATTGGGACTTGCACGCTCCATAGATCATATACAAGGTAGTTTACTGATCAATGGTTACTGGTGAGATGATGCAAAACTTGCATCTAGGCTCTGCAACCTCTAATATGTCTTAGGTGAGTCTGTAAACCTCTTCATTACCTGTAAAATTCTATCTCATAGGGTTACTCTGAGGATCTAAATGAGTGATGTGGTTAACATTAACTGGTAGTACCAAAGAGAGTGCTGAATTAATGTTTGTTGAAATTCTGTAGCTGCAGCACAATACAGGTACAATAATAAGCTACGTTTCATTTTCCTGAAACATAAGATTGAGAATATAATACTTGCAAGCAAAGTGTAATGATACCTTTGGAGGAAAGGAACTAAGTTCTGAGTATTCATATTATCACTACCTTGCTACACCTCCATAATCTAAACCTTCTTCTCCTGGAAAAATCACCCACAAACGTCTTCGCAGATCTTGGGCACTGAAGCTCATTATCTACAAAACAATAAAGTGAAAGAATTAGTAAAAGCAAATGCTGAAATATAATTCTACCAGGCGAGCCCATAGGTGACCAAGGTGTTTGAATACTGGACCCAGCAGCTTGAGAAACATGCTGTTTGTGTGCACACATGTGTGAGTGCCCGAAATCCCAGAAGGGGTAGAAATGGAAGAGAAGGGACTATGGCTTGTTCATTCACCATGGGGGTACTTTATCACTTTCCCTCTCTCCTTCCCTCCCTTCCTTTCTCTCTCTCTATCTCTGGCAAGTGCACATATCCTCTGGCAAATTAAAAGAAAAGAAAAGAAATAACTTCTACTACTTCCAGGTATGGTATTTCCTTCATTATAGGTAAATTAAATCCCTCATGACAAAGAATTGTATTTATGGTCTTATCAATACCACATACACAGAAAATACAGTAAAGTTTCATAATATTTTATATATTATACATACTTTTATATACTTTATATACATATAATCCTCTTTTAAAATGATGCTATTGTTAATTTATAAAGTTGCTTCCATTGGGCCAGTCTGTGGCAAGAGGTAGGTTTGGGCCCAGGACCCAGAGGATTAAAAACACACCAGAGGGCCGGCAGGTGACATGGTGATTCAAGTGCTGGATTCCCACATGGCTGACCATGGGTCATGTCCTGGACCTGGCAGCTCACTTTCTCACTCTCCCTTTCTCTCTGTCTGTCTCTCTTTGGTCAAAATTGAAGAATAATGATAGTACATAAAATTAAAAAAAAAATCTTAAAAACAAAACAAAAAACATACCAGACACATGTACATGGGTGCATGCTCAAGATCTCAAGAGGCGAATGGAGAAGAAAAGATTTCAGTGTGTCTAGCACCCCTCCATATGGCGGGCAGGGGAGTGGTTCATACTCCCCACCCTCCCACCCCAGCAGGAACACATGTGCTGTGGCAAAAATTGGGAGGGGGAGAGGAGTTGCTTCCATTAATAGTTTAGAGCACAAAATACCTATAGGTATGTTTTCTGTTTGGTTTTTGGGTTTGGTTAGGTTTGGGTTTCTTTCACAGCCATATGTACACATAATAACTAATTGGCTACTATGGAAATGAAGACCAGTGACTGCAGAGAGAACCTATTTAACCTGGTAAATTCATTTTCAGTGTTAACCTAAAAATATCTGAGAAAACTACTCAAAATTTTCTTCCCACTATTGAGAGTTAATAAGATCACCTTCACATCTGAAAGATAGTGCCACTGAGCAATAATGGGTAGGTCATTTGATTCACTCCCCTGTAGAACTACTTATTTACCCAAAATTAGGTCAGTAGAACATTACATGAGTTAATTACTCTTTTTTTTTTAAATGCAAGGGTCTGGAGAGGGAAAAGTTAACACAGCGTCTATACTTTATTGCGTGGTAAGAATGAATGCTCACACTCATACAGTCAGAAAGGATCAGTAAAAGTAACCTGTTTATAAAAGGGTTTTTCCAGTGTTCCATGAAACAGATACAGCACCCTAAATGAATTCACATCCAACTAAAACAAGAAAATCCCAGGTATAACAAAAAAATCTAATACTTATGATGTGCTTCTGACTTATGAACATGTTCATGAGAAATGTTCTACAAATATTATAGACTAGATATACAGCATTGCAAAGGAAAGATGTCATAAGGTTAAACTGTCTTTAAATAATTATCTTTAACAAATGCATAATAAAAAAGGAAAAGAAAGGACTTTTTATTTCCCTGCAATCTTAAAAAAAAAAAAAAAGAAAAAAAACCTTCAAACATTTTATTTATTTGTCTATCTATTGATCTGTTGTAATTTTCAAGCCGCCGGGTTCAGGACTCAAACCATGGTTAGCCGTGTGGAAATCCAGCTACCATGCCACTTGTTGGCCCTCTGCAATCTTTGTGTGTGTGTGTGTGTGTGTGTGTGTGTGTGTTTTTAAGAGGCTTTTGCCATAGGGCACATGTGTGAGCTGGAGACACAGAGACAGCCAGAGAGAGAGAAAGAGAAATCTCCCCTCAAAGGGGAATGGTTAGGCTGGAATTCCTTCTCCACTCTCCTTTTGGGATTTGGGGCACACACATACATATGCCCAGCATGAGTTTCAAGCTGCTGGGTCTAGGACTCAAATCGCTGTTGGCCATGAAGGAGTCCAGCACCTTAACCACTACATCACTGCTGGCCCCAGCTCCCCTGCAATCTTAACAAAAGAAACAGTATCCAGAACAATTTTATCCAACATCTATAAAGAAAATCTGATGTAATATTTGCTATCAGGTTTCTCACCTTTAAGCAATTAAACTGTTCTCTTAATTTTTTTATTATCTATTTATCTGATGGTTGTCAAATTTTAAACGATCTATTTTAGCACCATCTGGTCTGTCATGCTGCGAAAGCCTTTATGTTTCAAAGTCAGAAGATAAAGGGATAGTTTAATCATGTTTTGTACCTTTTCAGCACTGCCACAAGCAAGTTATGTTCCAAGAAATTGGTCCAAAAGACTGACTACTCAGTGATGAAAGCTGATTATGAATATGAAAATTATAAATGGGCAAGGACTAGATGGGAAATGGCCTTGGAAACTTATATCAGAGCAAGAGAATGGCTTATAATTCTCTAAAAGGCCTCAATCAAGTTCCAACTCCTAGGGGAACCAGCAGTTAGTGTAATGGCTATATCACTGGACTCCTATATAGTCGACCACAGTTCGAATCCCAGACCCGGTAGCTTAACTCACGCCGGGCGCCTGTGCGTGTGTGCCCAAGATCCCGAGAGGAGAATGGAGGAGAAGGGATTGCGGTGTGGCCATCCTCAGGCCCGGGACACTTCTCGCTTTCTGTCTCTTTGTCTTTCTGGCAAGCACATGTGCCCTATAGCAAAAACCTCTCCAAAAAAAAAAAAGTTCCAACTATTTGCTCCTACAAATAGCTTAAGTATTATAGAACTTCCATACTACAAAGCATGTCTTAAGTATTAAATTTTTTTGTTATTCCTGGGACCTTCTTGTATGAGTTAGACAGGAATTCATTAGAGTGATGTATCTGTTTTATGGAGAACTGGGAGAGCCCTATTATCACAGAATATCAATTGGCATTTTCCCAATAATGTTAATAACTAAAGTTCCAATAGGAAATAAACAAGTGTTTTTTGTTGTGTTTTATTTATTTTTTCTTTTTTTGGATTTTTTCTTTTTTTTTCTTTTTTCCCATAGGGTGCGTGTGTTTGCCAGAAAGACAGAGAGACAGAAAGTGAAAAATCACCCCCCAGGGGGATGGCCACACTGCAATCCCTTCTCCTCTTGGGATCTTGGGCATGCACACACACACACGTCCGGCATGAGTTTAAGTCACCAGGTCTGGGACTCGAATCGCGGTTGACTACATGGGAGTCCAGAGACATAGCTATTATGCTAACTGCTGGTCTCAACAAGTGTTTTTCAAAGTATGTAACCAGTTGCTGTCATCTACAATTTCTTTTCCCTTTGCCTTTAGTTCAGTAGTTCTTTTTTTTTTAAGTTTGGTACTTCTTAGAGCTGTAGCTACTACAATAATATCACAGATACTTGAAAATAATCACTTTAGAATAAAGACTAACCAGATGTTTTAAGATTTTTTTTTCCCACTAGTCATTTTAATCTTCTCTATAGCACAATCACTTAACACTTAGTTGCAATTTGTTGTTAGTGATATTCTCAAAATAAAAATAAAAATTGGAAATTAATCCACGTTTTGAAGACTAGTAAATTTTTTTACTATTTCTGAAAAGTGGTGTATTTTTTTTATACTGTCACTAATGACCAGTTAAGTTTCTTTTTTATATTAAATTTCTTTTTAAATTGTAAGAGTAACATATACTTATTGTAAAAATCCAATACAGATATGTAAAAACAAAGTCCTTACCTATTCTTTCTACTCACCCAATAATGCTCACATGGGTATTTCCAAAGGTTTATCAATTGAATGCCTTTTTTCTTACTTATATGTCTATTTCAAATCAAACACTTAGCAGCTTAAAAATGGAAATCTGAAACTCACTAATCATTAATATCATTCTGATATTCAGAAGTGCAACATACAGGACCAGCAGGCATAAGAGTGGTTAAGGTGTTCGACTCTGACATGGCCGACTGCAGTTCGAGCCCCAGACCCAGTGGTTTGAAACTCATACTAGGTGTGTGTGCATACATGCTCAAAATCCCAAGAGGAGAATGGAGGAGAAGGGACTGCAGTGTGGTCTATCTCCGTGGGGGTGATTTCTCACTTTCTCTGTCTCTCTGGGAAATACATGGGCCCTATAGTAAAACTCTCTCTTAAAAAAAAAAAAAAAAAACAGTACAACACAGAAACAAAACCATATGTTTCTAAATATTAAGTACTAAGGTAGCTGGTAATGAAATTAGACTTAAAATTCAAGAACCCCAACTCAAGAAATTCCAAACGTCTGATTAAACTGCCTGCACTAAGAGGTAGTCCTGCACTGACAACCACAGGGCAAATTATTAAGTGAATGAAACAGTACCTGTTGAAAGGAATCCTCAAACAGTGTTTTTCTTGTCACTGTAATCTTTATATGCTGCGGCATGGCCAGTTGCTAAAATATAATAATGACTAAAATCAATTCTCACCATTAAAATGGCCTGCTATTTATTTACCTTTATTTTTGCTTACATATAAAAGTGGACTATGACTATGAATTTACATTCAATAATGCATTTGTGAGCACTCAGGTTAATTGCAATCATTCAATACATGAGAAACAGGAGAAAAGATGTTATAGGCAAAGCTTACTTAGTAATGAATCAGATAAATCCTTACTTTTATTTTTCTACAGCAATTTCAGATTTTCTTGCTTCCACAGGCTTAATTACAAGAATTTAAAGTTTAGAAGCATTTATCATAGTAACACTTTGACTAATACACTAATTGTATTCAGAACCCATAAAAAAGCATTAATTCAACTAAATATTTACATATCTGAAATGATCACATCTGGAGAAACCTATATTGTATGTATATATCTATCAAAGTCATAACAAATGATAGATATGAAAGTGGCTGGATATAATTTATACATCAGAAAATATTTTAACATTTTTTTGAAGATTTCTACAGTTTGAAAGTAATGAAATGAGGAAAAAATGACAATGTTTGCTTATTCAAACAATTTCAAGCTTAATCATCTATATATAGAAGTCACAAAGTATCTAATTGATATAGCTATTACTTTATCATAAAAATATTTCTCATTTGATCTCTTTTTCTATAAGTTAGTTATTTCAGTCAACATGTAATAAAAGCATTGAAATAAAGGGGAGTATGGAGGATACAGTTTCAATACTAACCTGACACCAGAAACGGAAATACTGAACCTTTGCCTTGAAGTCCCGAACATAGGCTATCTGGGGTCCATTGTCTCTAAAGAGGAACAAGAGTTAAACATGATATATATAGCTGCTTGTTAAAGATAATGCTAAAAAAAGTAAAATACCACATTCCCTTAGTACTTAGCAGTCAAATAAAAAGTATATACCTAACATAACCCTTTCTTTGGGAAATATTTCCCTAGGACTTTTTTTTTAAAGAATTATTTTATTTAACTTTATTTATTTTATTTTATTTATTTTTAATTTGACCAGAGAGGGAGAGTGACAGAGAGTGACAAAGAGTGAGTGAGAGAGAGAGAGAGAGAGAGAGAGAGAGAGAGAGAGAGAAAGTAAGCCGCCAGGTCTAGGGGACTCAAACCATGGTTGGCCAAATGGGAGTCCAGTGCCCCTAATCACCATGCCACCTGGTGGCTGCCCAGGACTGTTTTTAAATAAGAGAAAGATTTTGGGGACCAGCAAGTGGCATGGTTGTTAAAGTGCTGGACTCCCACATGGCCGACTACAGTTTGAGTTTCAGATCTGGCAACTTACTCTCTCACTTTTTCTCTCAGTCTTTCTCTGGTGAGCATGTGTGCCCTATAGCAAAAATTTAATAATAATAAACAAAATTAAATACATAGTTCGTTAAAAAAATACATTTTTATCTTACTGAAGCCACTGCCGTGGGATTTTCTATTTTATAAAAAAATTGCCAGAGGGCACATTCATTCTCCAGAGAATCCCTAATAGGGCATGGTCAGGCTGCAATTCTTTTTCTTCCATTTCTCTATCCCATCAGGATTTGGGGCACAAAGCATACATATAGCATGTACTGTAAGAGCTAGGAGTCCAACTACCTTGGCCAGCATTTAACCACTAAAGCCATCCCATGGGATTTTCTCTTAAATGTATCCAGTTCTGCAAAATATCTATTCTTTGTCTTTAAATGAGACCCTTGAAATTTAATTGGGCAGGCTACTACTTAAGCCAAGGACATTTTTCCATGTGGCTCTGTGACTTATGACTGGCTTAATGAGTTCAGAGCTTTCCTTAAAGATTTATTTAATTTTGTCATTATTATTAGCTACAAGACATGTGCACTCATCAGAGAGAGAAAGAAAGTGAGAAAGCAAGCCACCAGGTCCCATACTCAAATCATGGGTTGGCTATGTGGGAGTCCAGCTCCTTTAACTGCCACACCACCTGCTGGCCCCTAGTTCTGGACTTTCAGGAAGGCTCTTTCTAAAGGGAACAGAGATAGCTGGAAACAGATTTATTTTTTCATTTCAATTTGCCATTCCTCCATATTCCAGACTGTAGTTACTCTAACAGAACTACCAATTCAACACTGAATAGAAGTAGTGACAGTAGATACCCTCATCTTATTCTTTTTTCCCTCAGTTAATTTAATTCTTCCATTAGTGAGAGAGACACAAAGACAGAGAGATAGTTCCCCAAAAGGGCCTTGACACTGTGATCCACTCCAATCACTAGCCTTGGACCACAGGAACATGCACAAAGGACTTAACAGGTACTTTACCAAAGAAGACAATGGCCAATAATCACATGAAAAAACAGCCAGATCCCATATGGTCAACTACAGTCCAAATCCTGGCCCCAGTGGCTTGAAAAACTGGCAGGTCCATGTGTATGCTGAAAATCCTGGCCAGATAGAGAAATGTTGGGAATGGCATTGTGGTGTGACCATGTCCCATTAGAGGCTGATTTCTCCTTCTCTCCTTTTCTAGCAAGCACGTGTGCCCTCTAGCAATTTAAAAAATGAGAAACGAAGAGACACAGTCAATGTGACACACTGGCAATTTAAGTACCCTGCCATGCTGGAGGATATGTGGCTAGTAATGGATACAGTTTCAGGCCTGTCTTCAAGATACCCCACATGTATGAGCTTGGGCTCAGGATCCTGAGGAGCTAAAAGACAGTATAATGAGAAATTGTTGAAGGTGCCCCTGCCTGTGTATGAGTGTGCCCACATGCACATGTTCTCTATCACTAAAGAAAACCAAACAGGTCCAACCCTGTGGCCTAGTGGTTAAGAGAGCTAGAGGCCACATGGTTGACTGGTTGAAATCATTACTCTGGTGACTTGAAAAACATGCCGTGTGTGTGTGTGTGTGTGTGTGTGTGTGTGTGTGTGTGTCCAAAATCTCAACAGGATGGCAAAATGAAAGAGAAGAGATTGTGACATGACCATGTACCCTTGGGTGAGGGTGCTTCCTTTCACTCTCTGGCTGGCCCATGCAACCTCTGGCAACTAAACAAAAGAGTTGACAAAGATGTGGGAAACTGGAACCCTTGTGGATTGGAGGGAATGTAAAATAGTGCAGCCACTATAGAAAACAGAATGGGAGCCAGACGGTGATACAGAAAGTAAAATGTGATGCTTTGTAAGGCTGACTCACATGGGAGGGTTTGGAGCTCCCTGAAGTACATCAGCAAGCACATGCCCATTAAGCAAGCCTGGCTATAGCTGGGGGTGAATTATGGTATAAAGATCCTGTTGGGGGCACTATTTCTGTCCCTCTTGCTCACAGAAGAGTAAATAAACAAATAAACTTTATTAATAAAAAAGAAAAACATATGGTCAGTCCTCAAAAAAAATCATAGACTTACCATCGGATCCAGGAATTCTACTTATGGAATTACACAAAAGAAGTGAGAGGAGGGACTTAAACATATTTGTATATCACCGTTCATAGTACTGCTTTATAATAGTGAAAAGGAAGAAACAACACATATGTCCATGAATAAACAAAATGTGATATATACATATATTGGACTATTATTTAGCCTTAAAAATGAATAAAATTCTGATACTGCTACAATGTGGATAAATCTAATGACATGATACTTAGTAAAATAAGTTAGATACAAAAGGACAAATATTGTGATTCTACTTGCCTACAGTAGGCAAATTCATAGACAGGAAGCCTAACAATAAAATAATGACAATAAATAAAATAAAATTAAAATAAAATAATTCTTTTTAAAAAAAAGTAATGAAAGCTTTTAAACTAAAGGTAATCAGAGGGCTAGCAGATGATATGGACGATAAGGTGCTGGACTCCCACATGGCTGACCATGGTTAGTTCTGGACTTGGCAGCTTGCTTTATCACTTTCTCTGGTCAAATTTAAAATGAACAATAATAGTAAATAAAATTAAAATAAATAATTCTTTAAAAAAAAAGGTAATGAGAATGAAAGAAGGCAACAATAAAAAAAAAAATCAGGGATTGAATATAGCTACACTATATAAATGGTGCCTAGGGGAAAAATAAATAAATCAGGGATTGTGCCAACAAGTGGTTAAGGAGCTGGACTTCCATATGGTCAACTGTGGTTTGAGTGCCAATCCTGGTGGCTCAAAAATCATGCTGGTCATGTGTGCATGCATCCCCAAAGTCCCAGGAAAGGGAAATGTAGAAGAAATTGTGGCATGGCCAATCCCCCAGGGAGGTGATATCTCACTTTCCCTCTGTCTCTCTTCTGCAAGGGCATGCACCTTATGGCAAAAACATAAAAATAGAATAAAACCAGGGATTAATTGGCAAGTAGTACTATACTAAAATTTTCTAAATAATTTCATTTAATGCTATATGAACAGATGGCAACAAATATTAAAAGTCTTTATGATGAAGTATTTTTTTTTCTTTTAGAGAGTTTTTTGCTATAGGGCGCGTGTGCTTGCCAGACAGACAGAGAGAGACAGAGAGACAGAAAGTGAGAAATCACCCCCCAGGGGGGATGGCCACACCATCCCTTCTCCTTCATTCTCCTCTCGGGATCTTGGGCATGCACGCACATGCGCCCGGCGTGAGTTTAAGCCACCGGGTCCGGGACGAGAACCGCGGTCGACTACGTGGGAGTCTAGCGACATAGCCATTATGCTAACTACTGGTCCCTAGGATGAAGTATTTAAGAGGGAGCTAGAGATATAAAATATACAGTGAACAGAAACTTATTGACAAGCCAACTCAAGACACAGTAAGATTTTCATTCCTTGCTTATTCAGATCTTTATATATCAAAATCTAAGAAATTAGTCTTGCTTTTAATCTATAATGTTTATAAAACTTACAGGGCAGATTTTCCTGTGCGAGGATCTATATATGTGGTTGTTCTTCTATTGTGGTCCACAAAATATGGAATTCCATCCACTGTGAATCTCATTTCCCAGCCTTCAGGTAAAGGCTTTTCATTTAACTGACTAAAAGACACAGAAAAAAATTATAAACAAAAAATATGAAGAGTTTTTTTTTCATCAAGAACAAAGAAATGAAGATACTTGTAAATGCAACAGAAATCTTCTAGAAAACCATTCAGTCGGATATTTTCAGATGTGCAGTAGACTACTCTATCTGGACATCATACAAACACATTGAATTCAATAGGTCTTTTGACTACTGGTCAGTCTTCTCCCATCTACTTGGCTTATGTCCCTCATCTACCACCTGTTCCACACTAACATTTCATGGTACGCAAGCTCTGCCCAAAGAAGCCTTAGAAGTGTCAACATGAAGTTCATCCCTATTGTCAGTACCCAACACTATCCTTATTTTGGTTTTATTTGTCTCTCTTCTAAATTTCTCAACACCCACCTAACTGGTCCTGCCTCTAAGTCTCACTCTGATCCTGTTTTTTTTTTTTTTTTTGGGAGGGTTTTGCTATAGGGCGT